TTGATTTGTGTACATTATGAGCTTGGCAGCGATCAGTGAAGCTCATCAAGAGTCTGAGGAATGACCGCGAGATGTGGTGGGTAGAAAAGTGTAGAGAGATGAAGAAAGCTGCGGCTGTCGGCAATAGTCGCATTCTTTTCCGTCTAATTAGAAATACAGGCCTCAGGAAAGTAGGCGTGGGTGAGGTTACTAAGGAATCCAATGTCACACTGATTCACGATCAGCAACGCCGTCTTGATCGATCGGTTGAACACCTCAAGGCTCAGTTCAACTGGCCCCCATCGATATCTGATCTTTCACTCTCCACTTTGATTGTGCAAATACTGCCAGTTGATGCTAGCCCTCCATCTGAAATGGAGGTTACCTGGGAAATAAGTTATCTCAAACGGTATAAGGCTTCCAGCCCCGACGGGCTGTCCCCATCGGGTTTTAAGGATGAAAATTCAGCCTTGGTTTTGGAGTTGACAAAACTCTTGGGCTCAGTGTGGGAGAGGGAAGAGGTTCCAGCTGAATAGTGTGAATCGGTAACATAACCGNTGAAAAAACCGCGTGGTGGTCAACAGATGACGTGGAAGCGAGGCATGAAAAAATGCACAGAGCGATTAGGTAGAATCGGTGTTTCCCGTCTTCCGGGTTGGGGTCCGAAAGACTCTACAACTGGTTGGCTCGAGCCATTAAAGAATATGGCGACTGACCGTCAGCAGTGGCGCTCGTGTTGTCATTTCTCAACAAGGTAGAATGCTTGAAAAAAGGTATGCATGAACACTTAGATGGTGTGCTCTGTGTGTTGAACATAGAGGTTATTTTTCTTTGCCTCCTTTCAAGTAGGCCCAATCCCTCTCCATCTTATGCTTTATCACTTGATTTGTGTACATTGTGAGCTTGGCAGCGATCAGTGAAGCTCGCTTCACTGTATCTCGCCGTACGATGATAATGATGATGACGGAACATGCCCCTTTCAGCTGTTCATCACACAGTTATGTGTCATGAGTTGTAGAAGATTAAATGATTAGAAGACAATTTCTCATACACTATCAGCACGCTACATACTTCGGAAAAACCGCGGGAACTGCACAACGCCACCAAAGCTTTTCAGTCATGTGCAGGGCAAGTTAAAATTGTTTGTGGTACACTATATTGCCAGTGGAAGCATGTTTCAGTGACCTTAAATCAGTTTTTGCATACGATTTAACACCTCGTTAAGCAATATTGAAGTAAAAATCGACCTCAAGGTTTCATCAAATGAAGTATGCAATTTTTTTACAAACTCCTCAGCACAAATTCGGTTACCTCTGCTTGAGCTTGGCTGTATTTAACTTCGTTATCGCATGTCTTTTCATTAATCCAGTTCTGTTGAGGCTTGCCGCGTTTACCTACTCAAAGTCCTTTTACCTAAACTGCCGGTTTTCGCTACCAAACTGTCCTCTTCACGACGCGATCTACCCATTCTACTGTTCATCGTACTCAGTTATGCAGTCGGAGATGTGTTAGCATGAAACAGGGTTGTGTGACTTTTTCAGTGCACTTTTGAACGCAGTGGTTTCACTGTCCCCGGTTAACGTAAATGACACACGTTACCGTTTCGTAATATCCCTCTGTTCTGTGATCCAGGCTATCCTCTACTTCGCCGCCGAGGCCGCTCAATTCTGGATTCCCTCGGTTCGTCGGTCCGCCTCGGGTACAGGACATGGCCCACTGGGAACATCCCCATGTTCGGCCGCAGGAGATACGGGGGCACAATCTTCCATGCCTGTGGACAAGTCACTCGCGACGGGACTATTTCTTTTCAGTGGTCTCTGTGTGTTTCTCGCACGAATCGGTCGTACATTTTGGCGCAGTCCTTTGTTCCGTGATGCTAGTGCAGTGACCGGTCTGACTGGTGGTTCGGGTCAGGCGGGCACCGTCGGTTCGAAAGGGCTCAGTTCTTGGATGCGTCGATTTGTGCATACGTTGGCCACGGCCTCACCACTTGGTGCCGGAGGACGCAGTAAACTCCCTTCGGAACAGCCCGTAAGTGTCAGTCACATATATCCCAAGCCGCGCAATTTCCCTCTTTTTGTTTTAACTCGTTATAATTATAACTGAGCTTCTTTGCGTTTGTTCTCAGTTTCGAATCGTTCTTGGTACTGAAGTTGACTGCCTCTCATACTTAGATAGCTGCGTGACCAATGACGGCAGAGCATCAAAGAAGATACCCCCCGCATTTTCAAGGCTCGAGGAGCGTACACAGTACTGAAACACCTGTGGCGACGACGTGATGTTTCATTGAAGTCGAAAAGTCGCGTTTATTGTGCCACTGTACAATCAGTTCTGCGTTAGGGATGTGAGACCCTGAATTTGCGGGTAGTAGACATCCGTCGCCTGGTGGTTTTCGACAATTGATGCTTACGTACTCTCGCCCATCTGGGATGGAGTGAGCTGGTTAACAACTTGGAAGTATGTCTTCGGGTTTTTGGGAATGCATCGAACAAGAACTCGCTGTCGCATCGAATTCAGCTCAATGGGCTCCGTTGGTTAGGACACTTTGCTTATGTCCGACGGTCGCCTACCGCAGCGCACCTTATTCGCAGTGGCTGTTGCAGGCTGGAGAAGGCCACATGGAGGTCAGCAGATGACGTAGAGACGAGGCATGAAGAAATGTACAGAGTGATTAGGTAGAGTAGGTGTCTCCCGTCTTCCGGGTTGGGGTTCAAAAGACACCGAAACCGCATAGTTGGAGACACTGAAGGTGACGGCTGCGAACCGACAGCAATGGCGATTTTGCTGTCACTTTTTATCAGACCAGAATGCTTGAAATAGTATGTATGCACAGCTGATCTTCGTACTCTATGTGTTGACCATAGAAGTTAGCTTTCTTTTTCTGTCCCCAAAAGTAATCCCAATCCCTGTCCTCCTTAAGCATTCTCACTTATCTTGTTGTATGCAATATGAGTTAGGCAGCGATCGCTGTAGTTCGCCTCACTGTATCACGCTGTACAATGATGATGCTGATGATTATGATGATGTTCTTGATGCCAGTACATCTCAACCCAGTTTTGTTCTACTTGTTTTATTGATGATTTCGGTTGACTGTTCAGATCTCTTTGTACTAACCGTCGAATCCGACTGAGTTCCAGCTTGTTCGTCCGAGTTCACCACAGAAAACAGTGTTCATCACAACTCCCCGCTCCTCCTCCTCCTCCTCCTCCTCCTCTCTCTCTCTCTCTCTCTCTCTCCTTTTCTATTGTACTGGATGTAATTCTGCAAATAGCTCTGTCCTCATGTCCCATCCACATGGTGGACACCATATAGATAAATTGTCGACCCACAAAGTGGACTGAGTTGGTATTTGCCAGTTTGAGAGATTCATGACACGTTCGGGGCATGGGATTTTTTGTGAAAAGGTAGAGTTGATGTTACAGCAGCACTTCGTTCGTTGTTGAGACCCTCGCCCCCCCCCTCAGTGTTCAAACACCACTGTCTGTGGCGCGTTGTGCTAGTTTCACGAGGCCACCGTACAAACAATCATGTGGTTAGGCGCATAATTTTAGGCAATCGCGGTCGCGCACCAGAGCATCAGTTTGTTGGTTGAGGCATGTGTTAGATAGATGTGATAGATAGATTTCTTCCTTGTGTTATGTTTTCCAAGGTGGTTAGTGGGTGTAAGAAGATCAAGTGTGATCAAACTAGGACATCGCATACGGATATGTAAATATTGATCAGCGGACTCGGTCATTCAGGTCGTGCTAGGCTTCTTGGATGAGGATATTGGAATCAGCTTAGCCACTGGTTATAAACACTGAGTGTTACGAATGGGTGTCGTAAACAGTGGTGTTTGTTGAAAATAATGTGGAATGATTGTAGCTCGGGATGCGGATTTTGGTGTTGGTGCATCTACTCAACGTCCTTGCGACTTTAGCGTGCACGGATGCTCAGTTCTCTTCCTGATACTGTTTCCCGTATTGCAGTTGTTCCCTTTAGTTCTTCATCTAAAGGGGTAGCCAAAAGCCGATTACTAGAATCACCGCATGAAAATGCATCGTTAATAGTTGTATAAACTAAACCTAACATTAAGCAACAGGATTGTGCTCGCTAGGAGCCACTTACTATGTGTGTTGTCATCCCTGTGTTTTTCTGGCTTCATCACATCGTTTCTCAATGTTCCACACCAGCTTGTTACGAGGAAAAATTGCCGATACTAAATTAGTTTTGTAAATCCACTCGCCTTAGTATGCCTGAAAGCGAAGGGTCGGCGTTCTGAGATAGAATTTTGTGTGATGGTCTATAAACGTCCGTGGAACATTGTGTCCTCCTTGTGGGAACTCTTCAGCAGTGTATACTATTACTGTCTCCTCTCCAGTGCTCAGATCGCACACTCTTACGTTGATAGTCAAAACCCTAGAGAACTAGACGATCAGTGACCAACCCTATGTGAAAATGAATAAATAAACATTTTCTGTTTGCACGAATTCACAGACACCAAGGCCCGTTTGTTGTGTTCTTGTCCACCATCAAACAAAAATCATATCACAGAAACTTCGAACAACATGCGAGAGTTCAACGGAATTCCCAACTGTGAGACAGTAGAAGTTGTTGTTGCTCAAACTCTGCTGTCTGTGAGTTCATATCTAGAGAACAAATAATCTGTTCAGTGTGTTGGATGTTTCGTGATTATCACTTCATCATCACCATCTGCTTTTAACCGATTTTCAGCTCTATTTTCGGTCGAAAATGTTCAGGGATACTTTCGTTGTCTGTCTTTGGTGTCACTCCGTGTATCCCCATGTGACATATTTGTCGCACAATCGTGCACAGAACGCTTTCGTTCAGCTGGTTGATTGAGTGATATTCGGGCATCAGTTTTCAGACGTGTTGTATAAGAAGACTCAATCAGGTCGAAATATATGTTTACTACTTCGTAGCCTTTCAGTCCACGTTTCATTTGCCCTGTACACGACGAAACGCACCATATGAGATTGCTTGTGTACCATACACTGAAGCATGCTTTTCATTTCAAAATTTGCGGTCTATGCTTTTTCTACTTACTAATTGATAGTAGCTAGTTCAATGATCCTAGCAATAAATTGTCCTCGCGGTTTTTGCGTATATCGCGCAATCGTGAAGTCGACCGCCGTTGTTCCCGTTTAACCATTTAGTTCTCATCCATATCTTGCATATATCCATTCTTATAAAAATAGTGCGCTCTCCTCTTCTGCCTCATCTTTAGACCTTTGTGAATTGAAACTGCCTGAGTTAATTGCTCATAACTCGATCGATACGTTGTCTTAAGCAAGTGAATTTTTCTGTGCACAAACTGTCATAACGTTTTCACTTCTGGATAAAGTTTTTTAATCGGTTTCTTCATTCCAGATTGAAGATCAACTTTGGTTGTTTCATATACCATTATGAATGACGTAAACTACCCTCAGTGGTAATCGCTATTTGTGAAAGCCTAAAATAAGTTACGAACCCCCCCTGGCCCCTTATCTGATCTTCCGTAAAAAATCGCGTGCATCGGCCTGTAACATTGTCTTTGCCCGAACATTTTATTTTTGTACCGCGTCGGTGTGACTGGCTGGCTATGCAATGCTCTGGGTTGAACTATCGTCAATGTCTAATTCGTCGCGGTTGTGCAAACAAGAAAAGAATTCTCTTATTGGTTTGTCCACTTCTTCCCTTTTTTTCTCTCAGATTATATCACGCCTGGACCCGGAAGAGATTGGTTGGTTGATGCAACAAATCGCTTATGCGCAACAATTTCTTCGTCGTCAATTGGACGTACGTGGTGGATGGCTTCGGGCGAATCAGATCACTTCCGTGCCTCGAAGCGCTCCACTTCGAATGGGTTCAGGTGACGGAGTAGAACATCTGGATACGGTGTTGCTACAACGTCTTGCTGAGGAACTAGATCAACTCCTATCCCTTGTGCTCGAGTTATTAGGCTTGTGGCGAGTGATCAGTGAACATGTGGTACACAGGGTGGTTAGGTAGGTTGAGTTGTCAGGTTCTTCACCCACATGCACGTGTGCATTAATTTCCCGGTCGGATGATCGAATTTCATTGAATCTTCCCATTGGTGCTTCTACTCACTGACTATCCTCAGATTTTTTTTTAACATGTTTTGTACATTTTTAGATTTTGCTGAGATTCAGCTTTCTGTCATTACTCCCTTCTCATTGGTGGATCACATGAGTAGCCAAAAGACAGGAACCGCACAATTGCATGACAAGGTTTTGCTATCTATAAAAACTAGACTGTAAAATTGAGCTTTGAATAAACCCGTAATCTAAATGAGTTGGTCTCGTTCTAGACAGTCGATCGTTACCAGTTCATGCTAAATCACACGTCAAGCCCTTCCAGTGTTGGCACTCGACCACCGAACTAAACAGAAGCTCAGATAGAGATGAACCGGAATAGTCTCGCAGTGGGTAGACACACGCAACCAGTCAGAATCAGCTTGTCAAGGGCTACCAGTCAGACAACCACCGGTTTCTTCCATCGCAGAGCACTCACTTACGAACAAGCATCATTCTGGTCGAATACCCGCGTTCACTGTGATCCTCCACGTTGCTAATTCACGTCTACTACGGTTTACCAGAGCGTCACAGACAACGTTGTAGACATGATTTGCGTAGACGAAAGGAACTGTTCATCTCCTTGGATTTACCTGGTGATAAAATGGACTGTGAAAAGCCTTTACTCGGAATCAGATCTTTATTGCAATCTTATTATTTCAGATAATCTGTAGTGCGCCTGAGCAGATGCACTGAAATTTATCCAGATATAACTTGTGCGACGGTAGTGTGTCTGCTGAGTCTTCTTTTCATGTTCATTACGGCAAAAGGCTGTTTTGAATTTCAGTTTAGTTTCTCATTTTTTCACACCAGTAACGATGCGCCTTTGTGCTACGCTTCTGGTTACTGTCTTTGGGTTGCCCGTTTAGATAACGGTATACAAGAAAGATTGGAATGCTGAGAGACAAATCAAGAAGATTAAGGGTTCAACGATAAAGAGTAGGTAGATGCACATGTGCAGCTATTTGCGACACTCAGCCCTATCGCTCAGTCTCTTACCATCGGTTGCCATGATCTACAGGTCCCCATTTAGGGAGCTTAACGCAACCTAAATGACGGAGTCTTTTGGTCAGGCTTTTCATATTCTCATGCCAGGTCCTGGTTTAACCACCATTTGCTTTTTTCCACCCACTATCGTGCACCGTGGCAACCTATTTGGTGACATGTGTAACAAATAACCCAACCAACGCAATCCATAGAGGTCGACCACTTGGTCAAGTGATTTCCTAAAACTGTCTAGTCTCAGCTTTGCTTGTCCGGTTTCATTTATACGTTCCACTGTGTTCAACGAAACATATACAGGCAAATCAACTTCATTTGATTCTCATTCCCTAAGTGATTTAATAGTGCTGTCAGTTGCTTAGAGAAGTATGCTCTTTCCCACTCCATTGTTTCCTATTGTCATTTTCAAATGTTGTCCAACTGTCCAAGGAACTCGACCCAAAAAGATACGGTTCTGTACAAAAGTGTCTGACAGATTAACGCTCACGTCTACCGTTGTTTACTTTTGTTTGAGTGAAAGAGCTTTCAGGTACACAGCTTTATGTCAAACTCGTGCTCCGTCCATGATGGTAATCTTGCAGTAATCGAAGAAGAATAGAATAAGATTAAACGGAAAACTGAGTGCTGAGTGACATAAATTAAAGGTAACATAGATATTTATAGATAGGAAATGGATGTACGGACATCAACATTTACTTCAGTTAACCGTGTCATCTAAACTACCAAGTTCACCGGTTTTCATTATTTCCTGTGCGAAGACATTGAACCAGTTTTGATTGTCCTCGTTTTGGATGATGTCGTTTTTGAACTGTCCCGAGCTATTACACCTTATCCAACCCACTAAAAAGAACAAATCCTCAGTGCACAAACTGACTTTTTCTCTATTCTTAACCATTGTCAGATGTTTGACCCCGGATCAACGTCGTTCCATACTTCATGTACCGTTCGAAGCTTATGCCATTAACCTGCTGGATTTGGTCTCTCCAGCACGCGCGTTCACCTCGAATGTATTGTCCCCTTCACTTCCACCATCACCCACCGTGTCCCCAACATTGATTAAAACACCGGTGCTTTGTGACGTGGACCTGATCACAGCTCTGATAAATGCACTGATCGAGTACTATTTGACCGAGGCCAGTCAAGATGTAGACAGCGGGATCAATTTGGACGGGATCACTTCACGATTGCAAACAGTCTGCCCCACATTGTTCGCGAATGAGGATGCCATCAGTGCCAAAGCGAGCGAATGTCTCATTCAGGTACGCATATGCAGCGAATAATGGATGACTGAATGAATGAACACTAGTGTTGTTGCTTTCTTTCCACATTATCATCGAAAAACGATCTGTCTGTTTTCTTAGCCGCCACTGAACTGTTTGTGCTTCAAGGTTTTCGGTCTGCTCTATACCATGAGTGGTTTCGCGATGCCAGAGAACTCGACCCACCAATCGATTCATTTCTGCTGCGTGTGGGACAGGAAGATCTTTTACTATCTTACATTTTTCCTCGAAATACTCCTTTCGGCCACCCCTTCATCACAGATTGGTTTCTGAGCAGAGCGGTGGAATAAATGGTCAGTTGAATTTCCGTCAAAAGCTATCGTATTGTATTGTATTGTATTCAAACTTTAGGGATGTGGCTGCAGGATTCAACTAGTTCTTCTTTTGCAGAGGAAGAACAACAACGATTTTTTAGGGTGGTGCAGTTCCGTGACTGGTGCTTTGAACTCTATGGTCCGAGGTTCGAAACCCTCTACTACTACTACTACCCAACTTTGGTTGTAGACAGCTTTGCTGTCATTCTGTTCAATACCACACCTTATGTGGTTCCTTACTCTAAGTCCCGGGGCGTAGATTGCCCGTTTCCATCACGGAATCGCAGGTCTTCGTGATGATGAAATTTACTTGGTCCGATGTTTATCGCACAAAAAAATGTATGTAATAAAAACTCTCGGCGTATGCTCCAACTAACAGCTATTCCGATGTACAAAATAGTAAATTCTACGGTTCACTCATCGATATCATGTGACCAAGCCAGATCTTCATTTGAACTCACCGGTTAGAAAACCGTGTATTTAAAGTGTGTCCAAGCCATATTTGTGCACCGCTCTTTCGACGAGCATACAATTCTTCAGTCGACAACCTCAGGTCTGTGCAGATCACCGATGATTGCAACTCAGTACCACATTGTGACATAGTTTAAGTGTTGACACACTTTTTACATTCTTATTATAATTAGGGTCACTCCAGTCCCCACCCTCCATCGATTTTTTCAGGCCAGTTTACTACGCGCTTCTTATCTTGCTAATGGTCCTGGTCCAACGGATGATGTCAGTAATTTGACATCCGATGAGGCTGTTCAAGTGGAGATCGATCAGCTAGTCCAACAGGCCTTAAGCCTGTACACTGAGGCTGGTCCCAGTTTGGATCTGGAAAACGCTGTCCAACGCCTGGAAGCGGCCGGTGCATGGCGTGGTGCGATCGCTCTCTGTCTGACAGTAGCACTCAAACGCGATCCGGCCAATGTGGCTGTGGATTGTCTGAAGACCGGTCGTCGACCTTCTGCCGACCCACCTCTGACAGGTCCGCAAGCCCAACTTGGACGGCGGCTAAATCCAAGGTGCGCTCGAAGTGGTGCGCTATCACAAGCTGCGACCACAGAACTGGCGGCAACCGAAGGCCGGTGAGTTGGAATTTGTCTCCAGGACAGGTGATCTCGCAACAATGTAATTTGATAAAAGGCTCAAACCAGTTCATCGAGTTGATCAACACACTGTTTAGACGAAATCAACTGGGTTGGATTGTTTTTCGAAACAGTGTAACTCTAGATTAGTTAAATCGCGTCGTTGATCTAGCAAGAATACATTTAAAAACCTTAAATACACTTGAATCATGTTGATGAGTTACGTTATTGAACCATACAATTAAGCATTGTATGGAGACAAATCCACTTAATTTTTTTGGAACACCTTGTTGCATTTCAAAGAGGTTTTAACAGATTCGATTTAACAATCAGTCAGTCATGTGAGACGCCAGGAGCACCAATCACCTAGTTTTGTGTTCCCGTAGAATGTTTGTTTTCCATATCAATACTTAGGGGGTGGGGTGAGGGTTTCTGGGTCACCCGGTTCACCCTACCCGCCTCTGCACAACATGGAATGCTTTGCTTTGTGTTGAACAGTTCAATATTCAAGACTGTAGATCACGATTACCTAATATTCTACACGTATTGCTCACTCAACACACTTTGAACTCTTGACAAACGCAACGGAGTTAATTTTGCATCTCATACTACTATTTTTATAATTCCCCAAATCGTTGCTCGGTCGAGGATAATTGTTTATTGCAGCTAACAGCTAGGATATCGTAAATGAGCATGCACATAACAGGAATCTCATTTGAAACATATCATCACAGTTCCGGGCAGCACATCGGGTAATGGATGGATCAATCGGTAGTTAGTCTTAGAGACAAGGCTATTTGCTCTCGGTGGTCTTTTTAATTTTTGATCGTTGGAGAAAACCAACAATCGCACTACTACTCACAAATGTGAGTACTATTTCACAACACTAGCAATAACCAATATGAGCCTTACACTACACAATGTGGTTAGAGGCATACTCACCAAACGCATATCGCATAGATGCCAAATGGGCATCTCTAGTAAACATTAAACAATTTCTGTATGAAAATGTGACGTTGAGGCGAAGTGCTGTGTAACCAAAATTACCTTTTCCACTCGTTTATTCAGCACATCCAGTTAATAGCCCACCTTGATGCGGACCAAACATGACAAAGAAATTTTAAGGAAAATGCGGAAAGATGCTGTTTTTCTTACGTTCAATAGCATATGAACTGTTTGTTTGTGTGGTTCATTTGTCGCTGTCGTGGGGTGCTACTCAAATTTGTGAGTAATATGTAATATAGTTAGTGGTTTTTTTCAACGGTCAAAAATATAACAAGACCATCGAACCATCAAGCAATAACTGCCGACTGCTCCATGCCCTA